TAGGTGACAGGCGGAAATATGCGACACAGTTAACACGCGTAAACAACTGCGTGGATGAAATATGTCGAAAGAACTTTGTCATGAACTTTAAAAAATGGTTTAGAGCGCGTGAAAATATACTCTTATAATGACCATTGATATATATTATATCTAACTATAGACTGTGTTAAAACAGAAAAAAATAATCGTTATTTTAAACTCAAAAACAACAAAATCTTACTTCACCTAGAAATCTGTCTTGATAAGTAAGTTAGTAAGAAAAAATCTTATTTATTATTTTATTTCACTATAGCTGACTCATCATAAAAACTTCGGATTTTGGCAACTACACATTTGACAGATGGGTAATATTTTATAGTGCCCTCTACCGGAACGTTTGGAAAATCCTTGGAATACTTTCCGCATTGCAAGTAGTCTACGTTGCCACTCATAGATGGCAGTAAACCTTGGTTTATGAATACAGATAATAGATGGCGCTAATAAAAAGAGAAAAAACTAAATTGTATTTAATGCAATTTGAAGCGTTAGATTTAAATCAATTAAGATTAGATTAATGTTCATCATCTTACTGTTCTTAATGTCCGTTTTATTTTTTCTAAATATACAAGTAAAAAGTTACAAAGCAAAATTAATTAATATGACTCGAGATTATTTTAACATTTTAGTTAATTAAATTATTAGACAATAGTTCTGCAGTTGGCAACCGAGGGTGACAGATCAATGTCGGCGGCCTAGCCGGAACCGCTGGCTTGCCATCATATTTGACATACTCTCGTTTGTGCAATTTGAACCTTATACGAAGGAGTTAAGGATCATAATGGTAGTAAATACATTATTAGTAAACCGTACCCTGATAGATAAACTTTCTTATTTGAATTGTAATAATCGAATTGTTTGTAATACATTGATTGCTTTATCTATTGAACATTTGATAAAAATCATTATAATTTCATTGTGTTAGTGACAACGACCTTTTCTACTACTGCTTAACGTGTTAATTTTTTTTTCTATATTTCTCTATTGCGTGTGTTTTTGTTCTTGTAGATGGATAACAAAAACATTTTTTATATTCTACGGCTGGATGAATCACAGGTAGCGATAATTGTTATAATTTTGATGTCTGCGTATAGACGTATGTTTATTTTAAACAATAAAATACATCAACGTAAGGTAGATCAACAGCAATGTATTACAAGCGGCTGATCACATCTTGAGCGTTGCCAAGCCGGAGTCGCGCCGTATTTTTAGCGCGCAGCGAGTGCCCGCGCGCACCGTACTCGCATCGGACGTTTTATAACCAAAAAACATACAATAATGAAGTGTTAGTGTCGTGGAATTGTTCTTGTTGACTACACTGTGACATGCGGATATTATGACGAAGGCTCACCACCTCGCCATGGATCGCTTCAAGCGGCAGCGCTACCTCGGACGGAGACGGGTGCGTGTGATGTGTTGCCCCGTCCCCCGCTTCCTGCACCCCCGCCCGTATTGATGTTTGTAATGCTGGAACAGATGTTCGACGTAACATAACCTCTTCCAAATTAATCTAGTCCACAAAAAGTGGAATAAAATAATGTTTGAAGGTTTTTTATAGTAATATGACTAAAGTAACATGTAACATGGTCCCTAAATCTTCAATTTAAAGGGTTTTAAGTTAGCATTTTTTGTAAAAATCGTTTCAATAACCATCGTAACGTCGTAACAGAATGAAGTCAAAAATTCTATCTGTTTTAGTGATATTAATACTATATATAATTCTTCCATGTTCAAGATTATCGCTAACACTTATTCAAGTTTTATGTAAATACTAACTTTCGCCCGCGACTACATCCGCGTGGAATAAAAAAAAAACATAAGTATGTAGCCTATGTGTTCTTCCAGACTGTCCTCTATATCTACACCAAATTTTATTGAAGTCTGTTTAGCCGTTTAGGCGACAAACTCTAACAAACATCCATCCATCCATCTAAACGTTCGCATTTATAATATTAGTATAACTAATTAGTATGATAAGTATTAGTATATTATTAATAATTGTTCGCGTAAAGACAAAACTTTTACTGTACTCAACTAAATAATGTTTCAAGTCATAAAATGCATTCACTAAAATGTTGCTGACGTTTTTTTCATAATAAGAATATTTTTGTTATTATCGAAAATATTAAATAGATCTTACGTTAGAGTTTTTAAAATAGTAAACAATATAGCAGACCAGTGTAAAAGGAGCCGTGACCTAGCGACCTCGAACTGCAACTCATCCCGCTTGTGAGGTCACAGTACACTGGTCAGTGAGTCATGCTCCAATGCGCCGGAACCCATACCGGATTTTACGGGAATAGAATCGACACATCGTAAGCGTATGTCGATTCATATATAAAATTTAAGGGATCATTAGTCATACAATTATAATTACACTAGGCATTCCCGTGCGACTTCATCCGCATAAAATTAAGAAAATTTTATTTTATTGCTTACATGTGTCAAATTGTCAATTGCAAATGTCAAAATGACATGACGATGGCAACCTTGTGTCCTTGATGTTGGCAGCAACTTATGGTCTCTTTCCCACATTAGGGTTTTTATCCAAAATATGTACCCCTAAGTTTAATTGCGGTCAAAATATATAGCCTAAAGCATGACGTAAGTGTAGGGCTTTCTATTAAAAAGGAACTATTCAAAAATATGTTGTAATTGCTGACATCTTAGGCAACAAAGAAGTGTGTTTTTCCTTTTATTATAATAGTATAGATAGTATAGATTTCATCATTACCAGCTACGTCCATTGAAGGGCTCGGAGCCAACGTTAAAGTTAGGAATGGTAGTCTGTTTTAATTAACAAAAAAAGTATGATTAGAAGTGCACAAATGTTTCAAAATCCTCAGTTCAAAAGAATTGTCCCGTCAATTGTTATTGATTCGACTCAAAGTCGACACGAACACCGACCTTAATTGAAAAATTTGTTTATCGAACGCAGGAAATGTCAAATAGTGCGGTCAGATATACAGATGTGATAAGAGTATGGCTAACATTGATTGTCTAACTTAAATAACATTAAATACACATTGACCCTAGACTAACTTAATCTTTTAGTTCTTTAATTCAAGGTCTAAAGTAGCTCTATTAGGCTACGTAAAATTAAATTTCGAGGTTATTTTATATACAACAATAAACTACTTTACCAACAAACTTTCATAAGAAGGTTATCAGTTCATCTGTTTGTTTATCAAAGAATATAATTATTGGTGCTTGATGACAATGCGAAGCAAGTAAACCATGATCGCACTTATTAGTTCAGCGTTTTTTGGTCTCTTGTATTATCTGCGTTTCGCTACCGCACCGCAAACGCACCGCAACCGCATCGTCGCCGCATCGACAAGTGGGTCAACGACGTCGCCGTAGCGGCGCCGGCCATCGATCCATCATCCGCGCATGCGCAGGATCACATTACAAAATTCAACCTTAAAACAATACTCAATGAGTACATTTCTCTTTACTCACTTTAGATATTAGCTTACATTGCACATTCAATCGCAACGGTCCTAACAACTAAACGACGCTCTTATTCCCTGAGTGTTTAAGTTCCTTTTTCCTTTTTTTCTAAAGTTCATTAGTCAGTTTTAACTGAAATACGAATTTAAATCTTACGCGAATGCAGTAAAGTCGATAATATGTTTGTTGCGACGTTTTAATGGCTCGGTTGAAATAAATGATTAAGTTGGTGTGGCGTGTTGAAGGCAATTATGAACTTTTGCAAAGCGAAGCGGTCATCGATTGAAGTTAACTTTGCCATAGTTTTTACATAACAACAAACTTAACAAAAACATCCAATATGTAAACGTAAAAACACTAAATAAATATGCATGCTTTATTTTGGGAACTATAACATATGTAATATATGCTAAAAAAACTTTTGTAGCAGAATATTATTTTTTAATTTGAGTTTTAACGGTTAATTAATAATTAGTTACAATTATTTTATTATCAAAGCCTCCAAAAGTTTCTACGATATTGCTACGATGCTACGATTGTTTCAACACGACGCTACAGCGTAGCAGATGGACATTGTTTTTGTAGCTGAATAAAAGTGACATTTTGTATAATTTTTTATACTCAAGTAAGAGTGTTCTTAAATGCTTTTCCATGTTAAACTCTCAACAGAAGACCCGATATTAACCTTTGCTTTGTGCCCAGCTGAGCGACATGCTATATTTTACTTGCGTCATTTTTTTTAAAGAAATATACACAAAATATTAAGTTTAGACTAACTATATTCCTCAAAATCGTTCAAAGTCACGTTATATTTCGAAAATTATCGTCACTTCCATATTTCTTTTTGACTTTTCCATGAGTGGTAGGGATAATGTTACTTTGTCTAGGAGAGCGAAAATCTATTCTACAATTGTACACAATTGCATCATTTAATATTATACCTTCTAAATGGTATTTTTTAGAATAGTTTTTAAATGATAGTTACGTTATCGTCGTCATCAGGTTTTGTCTGGCCAGTTAGTAGGATAGTTATTTCTGTCTAATATGTCTTAAAATACGTTTAATGTAAGTTTGTGTCCGCACTTACAAACAGTGATATCTCTATTGTCCATGTATGTGTACGGATGTAGAAACTAGAAACATGTAGACAAACATGAAGTTGCACGCAATCGAATGTGTTTATAGTGGTCGGTGAGGGGTGAGGGGTGCAGGGAGCGGGGTGCGCGCGCAGCTCATTCACCGCCGAGCGGGGAGCGGAGGGCGGGACGTCAGGACTCGCGGACCTAGGGCTACCGCCTCGTAGACTCGTAGTACACTTAAATCTTAAAAAGCTCTCAAATAAATATATTTATAAAGAATGTAGATGTACACTTATTACATAATAAATAATCATGTAGTTTCAGTCACAATAGTATCAATGTTTAATTAGATTTATTCGTTGTTGATATAATGTTAGTGGCAACCCTACGTGTAACGATACCAAGGCGAGGCGGGGAGTGCGGTCATGTCGGTCGGAATCGGCTTTGTGAGCGCGCGGCCGCCGGCCAGCCCGCACCACGCCGCGCGGCCACCTTGACAAACCATCTCCTGGCCGTCCACCGTCCATCGCGACATACAGTGATTAAAGTGACCGGCCACGTAGTGATAGTGTGCGGCCACCGCGGCCACGTAATCCCCCTTGCGGTGCGGAGTGGCCACCGCTGGCGTGCCAGGCTGCATCCCCCTAGTGTAATAGCGTGGCCACCACGGCCGACCCGGACGCGATCCCCCTGGTGGTCCAGAGTGGCCACCAGCTGCCGCCATGCCGTAACATGATGGGTTACAACAACCAGGGCCACGGATACAACAAGTTGTTCACGCAGGTGCGACCACACTTCATTGTTTCCATTTGATACTTTAAGTAAAGTAAAATACTTTAAGGGTCACGTTGCGTTTTAAAATTGTTATTTATATTCTGGTGTGATATGTAGCATTGTTTATCAAAATAATCACAAAGTAAATAATTGGGTTTAATAATCTAAATTTACTGTTTAATAATTGTCTTGTTTTAAACGGAATTTTATGTGTTTTAGGTACATTTGTAATTGAATTTATCTGCAATACGAATAAATCACGGAGATTATTAGTATTTTATGATTTAAATCGTCAAAGGTATGTTTCAATATAAATCTAATTTAAAAAAAAAAAACATGTACATAGTCCTTATTGTTAAACAAAAATTAGTAAATGTCATTTGAGATAAATAAACATACTAATTTATAACACAACGTAACTTGCAATTAAATTTGCCAGTGTCTGTAATAAGCAACTTAATATATGTTAAAAAAGAATAATTTGAAAGGTATATACAGTAGAACCTCGATAACTCAAACCTCGGTAACTTAAAAACCCCTATAACTTCAAAAAATAATATCTTCCCTTCCCATCTGAGCCCAAAATCTCTACAACATAGACTCTTATTAACTTAAAACCTCTATAACTTAAAATATTTTGTATTTCCCTTGGACTTTAACTTACCGAAGTTCTACTTTATTTAGAAATATTTTATGTTTACAGTTGTTCAGTAGCGTGCGTTGCGCGGCCAGACAGTTGTCTTTAATTTCCAAAAATTGGATCAACGGAGGTGTTTATCTAAATTTTTATATTTGCTAGAAACATTGAATGCTAATCCTAAACGACTAGAACTCTTCTAAATTCTTCTTCCAGTAATCTGTTGTGTATACGACTTGAACAACAAAAGTTCAAATACAATTTATAGGAAACTAGCTGTTCCCGTGCGACTTCAATCGCATAAAATTATGAAAATTTTATCATTTACATGTGTCGAATTATCAATTGCAAATGTTAAAATGACATGACAAGACAAACCATGGCAACCTTGATTCCTTGATGTTGGCAGCAACTTATAGTCTCTTTCCCACATTATAGTTTTTATCCAATTTATTTACCCCCTAAGTTTAATGGCGTGAAAATATATAGCCTAAAGCGTGACGTAAGTGTAGGGCTTTTTATTTAAAAAAGTATTATTCAAAAATATGCTGTAATTGCAGACATCTTGGGCAACAAAGAAGTGTGTGTTTACGCTTTATTATAATAGTATAGATTGACAATTTGCAATCATACATAAAATACATTTTATTGTCTTATTTTGCTCTATGCAGACATACTAAACTAACCCTATTTCTTAATAGTAACATAAAAAAAACAATAAGTACCGTTATTCTAAGTAAATTAAATTCCTTCAAGATTTTTCCATCCAACAATATAGTGTATTCGCTGCATTAGTAAACGGTATTTCTCTAGTAAGCTAAAACCATCAGAAACACATTAACGCTAACGAAAGCCAGACATAGCAAGATCCGGCAAATATCTTCGTTCGTACAGACTAATAAAATCATACTAAATCCGTCAGAGATTTTGTAAACTTTGACTAAGTTTAGTTAACATAACTGATAGAATCTAATCGTGTAAATTTACCTTGAAATAATAAGCTAAAACCACTGCGTGTTCGGTACACATGCACTAGATAAGGCTTCTTTTGATTCTATCGATTTATCGAACAAATGTTAACTGATTACGATTGATTTTGATTTCTGGAATATATCTACTATTATAAAAATCTATATTACTCCCGGATAAATTACCTTTCCACCAGTGATAGAATTTTTAAAATCGGCCCAGTAGTTTTTGAGTTATTTCATACATACAAAAATACAAATGTTTGCTCTTTATAATATTAGTATATAGCTTTTGTAGTCGTATTTGTCCTTGCGGAACTAAACTTAGAAAGAAAGAAAGAAAGAAAGAAATCAGTTTATTCAATAAATGAAAAGGAATTCATTCGGCATGTGCTCGGTGTACACCGAAGCGCCGGT